AGTAGCTATGGCCATAGAATATTAATATCCCAGAACAGCAGTACGCAACCTTTCTGGGAACAGGGCCAATTTTGGAAGAAAACTTATCTTCCACAGACCGGAGAGGAATGGTTTCACATGCAGTCTAGATCCTGTGCATGTGCAGATGAAGCTTTGTTTGCTCACCCACTGCTTTTGCGGCCTGGTTCCCAGCATGCCAGGGACCAATACTGGTCCACAACTTAGGAGTTGGGGACCTCTGTCCTAGAACATGAATTAATTAAACTAATTAATTGTGTAAGAACCTGAGTACATATTCAATATAGACATTATTTTACAATCTTCCTATTATTTTGCTTGCTTTTATATGTTTCTGATAACTTTGAATATGTAAAGTGTGCATATTTTGTATTGTTGCCAGTGACTCATTTCACCAATCTGCCATCAAGAATTCATTCATTATGAATATTCCTTGGAATGGTTAGGAAGAAAAATTAAATCATGTGGGAATGTGATTGTTTAATAGAAAAAGGAATTCTCATCCATTGTAATATTACATCTTAACTTTAACTGTGACATTATAGCAATAAGGTGGTAAATATTTTTACTCTTGTGTTAAGATACGGCTTTTGGATGGTTTGGCAAGAAATACTTTTACTTTGTTATTGATTTTCCTGATAATTTCAAAGGTTGATTTTGAGTCTCTTTTTTTAACAGGTCAATAATGACAGATCTGTTCTACCTCAGTCAAACTGATGGAGCAGGTGCTTGGCGAGAAAAAGAAGCCAAAGATTTGACAGAGCTAGTGCAGAGGAGAATAACTTATCTTCAGGTAACAATTCTGGGGAAAGACTATATAGGACATCTTAATATAAATAATATATATCAAACAATATTCAAAACTGTTAAGTATTTAGAAAGAAGAACCCCATTCAATAAATAAAATATTTCATTGGTGGAATGAATTTCCCTGTTCCTTCCTCCTCCTTGGTTCAATCTGCTCAAACGTTTCGGGGGACTCTTCAGAGAAGTGCCAGGGTATAAATGGAACTAGAGAAGAGAAAGGAGATGTCCCATTGTGTGGCCAGATGGCCATTTGTTTAATATTGGATAGAATCTGATATTCGGTTAAAGGACACTCATTTTTTTGCATTTCCAGTCCTTTAGATAATAAAAATCAGTATCTGAATCCTCAAGCATTTATCATTACTTAATCTAAAAAAGTGTCATTTTACAAAGTTCTGAAGCAACTCTGGAAATTTGTATACAAAGTTGTTTATGAATGAATAAACAGGACCGGAAATGCAAAAAAAAGAGTATCCTTTAACCAAATATCAGATTCTATAGAAGAGAACTACATCTTACTTATTCTTCGTTGACAAAGAGTATATTATTTCATCAAGTGCGATTCTGCAGTGCTTTGGATTCAGATTCAGGAACTGTTTTTTGGAGGTAGCATCTATCTGCATTACCCTAAAGCAGCTAAACTTTTTATGTATTACATGGCCGCAGCAGAAGACTGTTTGATTCTAGGAAAAAATGCAGTCTGCTTTAAAGTTTTGTAAAGAGGGATTCGTTTCATGCTTCTACGTGCTTAGATAAGCTTTTTAATTGTATCCAAAGCACTGCAGAACACCATTATCAGATATTCCATGTTTGGTTATATTGTGAAAATTATTCATTTCTTGGGAAGGTTCTGAAATTCCTAGTTCTAAGGAAAATTTCATTTAGTTTTTTCTGACTTATTAACAACAACAATAGTAATAGTAGTAATAATAATAATAATGATGATGATGATGATGATGATGATGATGATGATGATGATGTTAGAAGGGACCTTGGAGGTCATCTAGTCCAACCCCCTGCTCAGGCAGGAAACCCTATACCATTTCAGAAAAATGGCTGTCCTGTCTCTTCTTAAAAACTTCCAATGTTGGCGCATTCACCGCTTCTGGAGGCAGGTTGTTCCACTGATTAATTGTTCTAACTGTCAGGAAATTTCTCCTTAGTTCTACGTTGCTTCTCTCTTTGGTTAGTTTCCATCCGTTGCTCATCTGAAAGTTTATGAAATAGTGCTGGTATTTGAGTTAGATTTTCACAGTGATTTTCCCAGGTGAAATAACTTTTTTCACATTTTTTTCTGTAACTCTCAAAAACAATTCAGGAAGCACTTATATATGTTTTAGATGAATTTGGATAATTTAATTGGTAATTAAGCATTTTACTCCAAGCATCTTCATATCTCCAGTTTTTGTTTTGTGATAATTCATAAATACATCATAAGAATTGGAGGTGAACACAGACAAAGATTATCCTAAATATCTTCATATTTAAGAAAAATGTAAATTTAATAAATAACAATAAATAAATAAAATAGCTTAAAGCAAATGCATAACAGATGTCAAGGCTTCCTGTGAAATGATATTTTAAAAAGAGATTGGAATAAATAAGAGGTTTTAAAGATAAAATTATTAATATCTGTATTTATTCCAAAGGCAAAATAGCATTGTCTTGTGTAAATTAAACATAACTGTGAATCTTTTAGACAACCTCAGTGCAGGGACAAAATAAGTTCTAAAATACTTTTTTCTCTCTATTACCTTAATACGTAACAGAGCAAATACAAATACAGAGGGAAAATAAATAGCATTAAAAAAAGTTTTAAAAAGTCTAACAGATTAGAGTGTGGCATTTTCCAGGCAAATATATGGTATCTGTTAATTTTTGCTCATTTATTTTGAAAAACGTTCTTATGCCTCTATTTTTTCTACATGTTCCATTTATTGTTCATAGAATCCCAAGGATTGTAGCAAAGCCAAGAAACTAGTATGCAATATCAACAAAGGATGTGGTTATGGTTGTCAACTTCATCACGTGGTCTATTGCTTCATGATAGCATATGGCACTGAAAGAACACTGATTTTGGAATCTCAGAATTGGCGCTATGCAACTGGAGGCTGGGAGACTGTTTTTCAGCCAGTGAGTGAAACATGTACTGATAGATCAGGAAGTACTACAGGGCATTGGTCAGGTAAGTGTCATTGACTTATAGTTATTTCTTTGTATAATAGTTTAAGAGATAATTTTTTGTCAACCATTTCAGTAATAAAGAACATTGAGGAAAAACATTATACCTCTTTATTGTAGTTGTAAAGTATGCAATATTTTTATTTTGAAATAAAGAATTAGAAATGGAGAAAAATAACACATTATATTTAGGTATTTATCTGAATTTTTTATGTTTTTATTGGTTGAGTAGATAAATCTACGATAGGTTCAGGTGAGTAATGCAGAGAATTTTGTTATTTTTCTATTGTATAGACCCATCCCAATTTACTGGGAACACTCCATTTAAGCTCTGATTTGTTCTGATTTGTATGAACTCCCTAAAATTTACATATTTGTATTTTTGGGAGATGGGAAAATACCTTTTCAAAATTAAAAGTAATCCCCAAGCAAGACTTAATGAAGACATTTATCAAAGGCTATTTAGAGTGCTTAAATTTGAGACCCTAGTCTGGGAAGTTGAGTTTTCCAAAGGACTGAAATTGCCATGATTGGCTAAGCATAATGAATTAGTTCTTAATCTTGTCACTTATGTAATAATATTCTTCAGAACAAATGTATAAGGTATAGAATATAAAAGTAAAATTATATTTTAATATGCACAGATGACATACCAATTTCTCAGATAAAGATGCAGTTGATTTTAGGAGTAGCAGATCACTATGCAGTCTGAAGCCCCTTTTTGCCTTTGAATCTAAAGTGGTGTAAAATTCATCCCATTGTGTTATTGACTGGAAACTAGATATACATTCAATAAATATCATTGTTAAAGAGCGTGGTATTCTTTTTTCATTTTTGGCCCAAGTTAAAGAGATATGCCTCCTTGAACTCTTTATTTGATATACCTTTTTTAAATGTTGTTTATACATGTGAATCTGTTACGCTGTTTTTCTCTTCCTTCAGTGTGCAATAAGTAATATACAAGTACACTTCCATTGGTTTTCAGGAACCATTGCAAGAGAATGAAAAAGATTTCATAAAATTGTAAATCTCCTGTCTAACTCACAAAGTTTAAATGCACTGCAAAATTTATAAATTATGTCCCAGTAGTCTAAATATGGTTTTTGGTTAGGAGTGATTAAATATAATTGACTGTCTTATGGAGATATCTCATAAATTTTGGTATTTTGAATAAACTGAGGAAGCTTTCATTATTTTCCCAAAGGTGTTTTTTCAGGACTTGGATGATTGAGGATCTCCATAGACTTTCATTATTTGTTCATACCATCTGAGGATAAGATGTATTATGCCTCTGGATATTTTGACTAATAACTATCTGTATTATCAATAGCATTTAGAATAATCTTCAATATCATTTTTAGTATTAATGAACAGAAGCATTTGGTATGTTTGCTAGAATTCAAAATGCATTCAAATGAATAATCTTTCTAATACATCTTTATTGAAAATAAAATTTAGTAAGAACATTGAGTGTTCAAACTATATAGAGCTGTTTTATATATTTTCCTCCTAGTTATTCCTGTGCTATGGCAGGGTCCTGTTTTATATATAAAGAGTTTAAAATGAATAATAATAAGAACGACAATAATATACTTATTTATAAGCCACCCAACTCCCAGCAATAACTCTGAGCTGTTTATAGTTGTTAAAAACATTAAACAGAATAGAGCTGGAAGGGACCTTGGAGGTCTTCTAGTCCAACCCCCTGCTCAAGCAGGAGACCCTATACCATTTCAGATAGGTGGCTGTCCAGTCTTTTCTTAAAAACCTCCAGTGATGAAGTATCAACAACTTCTGAAGGCAAGCTGTTCCACTGGTTAATTGTCCTCATTGTTAGGAAGTTTTTCTTTAGCTCCAGGTTGCTTCTCTCCTTGATTAGTTTCCATCCATTGTTTCTTGTCTTGCCTTCTGTTGCTTTGGAAAATAAGTTGACCCCCCTCTTCTTTGTGGCAGCCCTTCAAATACTGGAATACTGCTATCATGTCACTACTAGTCCTTCTTTTCTCTAGACTGGTCTACCCAATTCCTGCAACTGTTCTTCATATGTTTTTGTCTCCAGACCCTTAATCATCTTAGTTACTCTTCATCGCACTTTTTGCAAAATCTCAACATATTTTTTCTAATGTGGTGACCAAAATTGGATACAATATTCCAGGTGTGGCCTTACTAAGGATTTATAAAGCTGTACTAATACTTCATGTGATTTTGATTCTATGCCTCTGTTTATACAACCAAGAATTGTATTAGCTTTTTTGGCTGTTGCTGCACACTGCTGACTGATGTTTAAGTGATCGTCCACTAGGACTCCAAGGTCCTAGGTCCTTTATTTCAAAATAAAGAATACAAAAAAACTCACAAAAACATCATAAAACAAAACCGCATACAACAAAAGAACAACAATGGCAAAAAAAATTGTTCAGGAGGGGAATGAAAAGCAAGAAAGGGGCTTCAATCACTTTTGTCAAAGGCCTGGCGGAAGAACTAGGTCTTCAGTGCTCCTTGCAGTACCAGTAGCAGGGAGCTGTTTGAATAATAGAAGCAACCAGTTTAGTAAGAATTAGAGTTTTTCTTCTGCTTAAGAGAGGTCTGTAATCATTTCCAACAGTTTCTCCTCCCCATTCCATTACTGCAATCTAGACTCCTACTTGCTGCTCTGGAAGCTTAGTAGATTTCCTGGAAAAAGAGACTTCATGGAAATTACTGCTCCATGTCCTTTCTTCAGAGATATGTCCATGCTGTGTGCCAAACCCTGTATTCAAGAGGATCCAGCCCGGAGTACAGAATAGCTAAATATAATTAGCAATCATTATGAACAAAAACTTCTCGTTTTCGATGTTCCATTATAAAAAAATAATTAGATCTAACCATGATCAAATTTCTCTTCTTGGAATTTCATTAGAAAAGTAGTCGAGGGTAATCATCTGTACTACTAGATAGCTGACTAAAAAACAATTGAATTGATGAGATTAATGTTTAGTAGAGATCTAAATGTGCCTATATTTTAGTTAGATTGTTTATTGTTGTTGTCAACAAAAGGAAGAGAACTAGCAGTCCCAGAAAATTCTTTATTCCTCAAATCAAAGAAAAACAGATTATTTGTAGTTTATAGCCATCCGTTTTGAACCAGCTTGTAGTTTTTAAGAAATCAGTTTGAATTCAATATATTTAAGATATTTTTGAATTGGGTTTAGTTCTGCTTCTCTGAAACAGTACTTTCTTGAACTGGTTTTCAGGTTGGTTTTCAGGTTGGGTTCCATTCCTTGAATTAGACTGCAGGATCCACCAAATGAAAAGCATCAACACATGTAAAGGTAGCTGGTACACATGGTTATCCTTATATCTAAGATATATATGTATATAGATACATATATACAGTGAGGGGAAAACTTATTTGATCCCCTGCTGATTTTATATGTTTGCCCACTGACAAAGAAATGATCAGTCTGTAATTTTAATGGTAGGTGTATTTTAACAGTGAGAGACAGAATAACAACAACAAAATCCAGAAAAATGCTTTCAAAAAAGTTATAAATTGATTTGCATTTTAATGAGTGAAATAAGTATTTGATCCCCTATCAATCAGCAACATTTCTGGCTCCCAGGTGTCTTTTATACAGGTAACAAGCTGAGATTAGGAGCACTCTCTTAAAGGGAGTGTTACCTGTATAAAAGACACCTATCCACAGAAGCAATCAATCAGATTCCAAATTCTCCACCATGGCCAAGACCAAAGAGCTGTCCAAGGATGTCAGGGACAAGATTGTAGAGCTACATAAAGCTGGAATGGGCTACAAGACTATTGCTAAGCCACTTGGTGAGAAGGTGACAACAGTTGGTTCAATTATTTGCAAATAGAAGAAACACAAAATAACTGTCAATCTCCCTTGGTCTGGGGCTCCATGCAAGATCTCACCTCGTGGAGTTTCAATGATCATAAGAATGGTGAGGAATCAGCCCAGAACTATATGGGAGGATCTTGTCAATGATCTCAAGGCAGCTGGGACCATAGTCACCAAGAAAACAATTGGTAACACACTATGAAGGACTGAAATCCTGCAGCACCCACAATGTCCCCATGCTCAAGAAAGCACATGTACATGTACATCTGAATGATTCAGAGGAGACCTGTTGTTGTGGTCAGATGAGATCAAAATCGAGCTCTTTGACATCAACTCTACTCGTCGTGTTTGGAGGAGGAGGAATGCTGCCTGTGACCCCAAGAACACCATCCCCACTGTCAAACATGGAGGTGGAAACATTATGCTTTGAGGGTGTTTTTCTGCTAAGGGGACAAGACAACTTCACTGCATCAAAGGGATGATGGACGGGGCCTCCTTCCCTCAGCCAGAGCATTGAAAATGGGTGGTGGATGGGTAGGGCAATGACCCAAAACACGCAGCCAAGACAACAAAGGAGTGGCTCAAGAAGAAGCACATTAAGGTCCTGGAGTGGCCTAACCAGTCTCCAGATCTTAATCCTATAGAAAATCTGTGGAAGGAGCTGAAGGTTCGAGCTGCCAAACATCAGCCTCAAAACCTTAATGACTTGGAGAGGATCTGCAAAGAGGAGTGGGACAAAATCCCTCCTGACATGTGCGCAAAACTGGTGGCCAACTACAAGAAACGTCTGATCTCTGTGATTGCCAGCAAGGGTTTTGCCACCAAGTACTAAATCATGTTTTGCGAAGGGGTGAAATACCTATTTCACTCATTAAAATGCAAATCATTTTATAACTTTTTTGAAATACGTTTTTTCTGGATTTTGTTGTTGTTATTCTGTCTTTCACTGTTAAAAGGAACACACCATTAAAATTATAGACTGATCATTTCTTTGTCAGTGGGCAAATGTACAAAATCAGCAGGAGAACAAATACTTTTTTCCCTCACTATAAATTTTACTAAGCTATCAGGGGTCTGGTCGACCTTTGAAATGAAGGGGAAAGAAAAAATACTTAATTGGAAATGACTATTTTTCAGTATTATTCCCCCCAAAAATGTAGGAAAT